AGTATGAAGGAGAACCTATAAACAAAATGATAGGCGAGTATGAAGGAGAACCTATAAACAAAATGATAGGCGAGTATGAAGGAGAACCTATAAACAAAATGATAGGCGAGTATGAAGGAGAACCTATAAACAAAATGATAGGCGAGTATGAAGGAGAACCTATAAACAAAATGATAGGCGAGTATGAAGGAGAACCTATAAATGAAGTTATAGGCGAGTATGAAGGAGAACCTATAAACAAAATGATAGGTGAGTATGAAGGAGAACCTATAAATGAAGTTCTAGGCGAGTATGAAGGAGAACCTATAAATGAAGTTATAGGTGAGTATGAAGGAGAAGAGAAGGAAAAACTATAATAGAAAGTATAGGTTATATGACAATTATATACAACTAAACAATATAAAGAAACAAGTAATACTGATAAGGTTGACGTTTAGAGGATCAGTCTCTTTGGCTTGGAGGTTGTACAGCAGGGTTTTTCAATAATAAATCAAAGTCCAGTATTTGAATAAAGCTGGGAGGAATAGACAATCTGGATTTCCAGGTTGGTTAAGCAATGTTCAGTAAGTGAGGCAAGTTGAAAAGTATGAATTAGAATGGTTCAGATAGTATCAGGATGTCATGGTAGGAGCCAGGATAAGAAGTCTTGAACACTTCTTCAGTCAATGTAAAGGCCTTAAAACAGAGACTCCAGGGTTAACTAGCGTTCTAAAACAACAATACCTGTATATCTTTATGTTATCAGGTTAACTTTATGTTCTTTATTTTGAACTTTAGACAGGATTTGACAAGAAAATAATTATAGCAGAACTTAAAGGAAAAGGAAACAATACAGACAAAAGGGGATAATAGAACCTATAAATGAAGTTATAGGTAAATAAGGGAGGATAACAGAAATATTGGTTTAGGCAATATGCCCTAAGCAGGTTATGAGGAGACAGGTTATAGGAGAGTATTAGAAGCAGAATCTATACATTAAATTATAGGTAAGAATGAAGGAGAACCTATAACTAAAATTATAGGGGAGTTGGAAGGAGAACGTATAAATTAAATTATAGGGGAGTTGGAAGGAGAACGTATAAATAAAATTATAGGGGAGTTGGAAAGAGAACCTATAAATAAAATTATAGGGGACTTGGAAGGAGAACTTATAAATTAAATTATAGGTGAGTTGGAAGAAAGGTTACAGGAATGAGTTAGATAATATGCCCCAGATAGGTTATAGGAAAACCTATAGGAGTAATTATACCGCGAGTAGGGGCATGTCTATTAAAGGGAAAAAAAAAAGAAAAAAAAAATGGGATATTGCCCTCCCCAGCCCCCACCCCTGAGCGGCGGGTGGGGGCCGTAAAGTAAAATAATGGGGGGACCTATTGTCCTCCCCCCGGCCCCCACCCCTGAGCGGCGGGTGGGGGCCCTAAAGTAAAGTAATGGGGGGGGACCGATTGTCCTCCCCCAGGCCCCCACCCCTGAGTGGTGGGTGGGGACCCTAAATTAGAATGGGGGGGACCTAATGTCCTCCCTACTGGCCCCCACCCCTGAGGGTGGGTGGGTGCCCTAAAAACTAATTGGGGGGACCTAATGTCCTCCCCCCTGGCCCCCACCCCTGAGCGGTGGGTGGGGGGGCCTAAATACTAATTAGGGGGGGACCTAATGTCCTCCCCCCTGGCCCCCACCCCTGAGCAGTGGGTGGGGGCCCTAAATAAAAAAAATAACCCCCCCTCCCCCGGGTGACTAGGGGTCCCCAAACCACTAGTCACCCTCCCTCCCCCGGGTGACTAGAGGTCCCCAAACCACTAGTCACCCTCCCTCCCCCCCAAAAATAACCCCTACCTACCCCCCTCACCCTAACAATAATGAGGGGGGACCATTTAACTAAGTACCTGGAAAAAAAAAACTTACCATTTGATGTTTTCTTTCTTCTAAAATCTTATTTTTTCAGCCCCAATAAAGGCCAAATAAAAAGCCATAATAACCAACGCACTTTAAAAAAAAAAAATCCATCTTCCAGTGAGGGCTCCGCTTATAAAGCCTTGCCCCGCACTGCAATTAGGCTCAGAGCACTCTGATTGGTAGATTTAAGCCATCCAATCAGAGTGCTCTGACAGGTAAATTAAGATACTGACAGGTAAGTCTCTACATTTACCTGTCACAGCACTCTGATTGGTTGGTTACTTAATCCACCAATCAGAGTGTTATGACTCAAATTACACAGAGTGGGAAAATTCCCAAGAACTTTCCCAAGCTGTGTAAAATGACACAGAGCATTCTGATTGGTGGATTTCAAACCAACCAATCAGAGTGTTGTGACAGATAAATGTAGAGACTGGCCCCACCAATCAGAGTGCTCTGAGCCTAATTGCAGGGCGGGGCAAGGCTTTATAAGCCTTCCTCCGCCCTGCAAAGCTAAGTCTGCACGGAGCCTTCGCCGGGTGAAGATGGATTTTTTTTTTGCGCTCTGATTTTTTTTTTTTTAAGTGCGTCGGTTATTATGGCTTTTTATTTGGCCTTTTTTGAGGCTGAAAAAAGAAGATTTTAGAAGAAAGAAAACATCAAATGGTAAGTTTTTTTTTTTTTGTTCCAGGTACTTAGTTAAACGGTTCCCCCTCGTTTGGGGACACCTAGTCACCCGGGTGAGGAGGGGTTATTTTTTTTATTTAGGACCCCCACCCACCGCTCGGGGGGGGATGGGGGGGTTCATTAGGTCCCCCCTAATTAGTATTTTAGGGTCCCCACCCACGGCTCAGGGGTGGGGGCCAGGGGGGAAGACATAAGGTCCTCCCCCCTCATTCTAATTTAGGGGCCCTACCCACCGCTCAAGGGTGAGGGCCAGGGGGGAAGACATTAGGTACCCCCCTAATTAGTATTTTAGGGCCCCCACCCACCGCTCAGGGGTGGGTGCCAGGGGGTGGACATTAGGTCCCCCCCAATTAGTATTTAGGGCCCCCACCCACCGCTCATGGGTGGGGGCTGGGGGGAGGACAATAGGCCCCCCCTTATTTTACTTTAGGGCCCCCACCCACCGTTCAGGGGTACCCGAATGTCTGAATTGCCCGAAATTCGTCCAAATTCATATTCGGCCTGAAACGAATTGCACATGTCTAGTGTGGCCTCTGATAGCATGTTTGGATGATCATGCTATTCAGTTGACAGTGTTTTGGGCGAGATTAGTGGCTAGTGAGGCCATTAGTGTTGGAAAACAGGAATTGCTGCTGGAACTAATGGACTGAAAGGTAAAAGTTTGGAATCTAAGATTTTTTAATGTGACAAAGGCTGTCCAGTGACACACATTTAGTGTTAAACCATTAAAAAACACTGAATTGTGAGCTGACACTATGGGACTTCAGGCACCATACCCACTTCAGTGTTCAGTGTTCCTTTAAACCATATCTTACATTTATTGAATACATAAATGTTTATAAGGGGAATCAGTCAAATGATGTGTCAGTATATGCAGTAGCACAAAATGCTCCACATTAACATGCTACTGCTGGGATGGAGTCTAATAGGGTCATGGTAAACATAGTGTCTTTCTGTGGTATTATTGTAATTTTGAAAATGTTTACTTTAATATATATCCAACACAAATACCCTCATTCAGTCAGTAGTGTACTAAGGGGGGGACGGGGACGGTCCGCCCTGGGTGCCACTCAGTAGGAGGGCGCCCGGGGCAAACTGTGTTGGTCCAGGGACACTGACCGAGGACCTGAAACCAGGAGGGGGCCTGACAGCTCATACATGGTCTGCAGCTCTGTGGAGCTGCAGACCAGATATTATGGCAACCGGACCACCAGAGAGCCCACCGGACCACCAAGAAATTAAGGTATTTAGTCTCCCCCATCACCCTCCCTCTCCCTCTCACCATCACCCCCCTCTTTCACATCATCACCCCCCTCTCCCTCTCATCATCACCCCCTCTCATCATCACCCGCTCCCTCACACCATCACCCTCCTCTCCCTCTCACATCACCCCCATCATCACCCCCCTCATCATCAATCACCCCCCTTCCTCTCATCATCTTTGCTTCTCTCATCATCACCCCTCCTCTCCTCATCACCCCCCTCCTTCTCATCCATCCCCCCCTCACCATCTCCCTCTCATCACACCCCCTCCCTCTTGCCATCCACCCCTCCCTCCACCATCACCCCCTCTCACTCTCATCACCCCCCTCATCATCACCCCTCTCATAATCAACCCCCTCTCATCATCACCCCCTCTCATCATCACCCCTGTCCCTCACCATGGCCCCCCTCCTATCATCATCCCCCCTCCCTCTCACCCATTACCCTCGCTTGTCAACTTCAACCCCTCCCCATCCTTACTCTTTCTCCATGTCAGCCTCCCTCTCACCATCCTCCCTCCATCACCCCCTCATCACCCCTCTCACCCCTCATCCACCCTCCCTCACACCTTCACCCCCTCTCCCTCCTACATCACCCCCCTCATCATCCTCCTCCTCATAATCAGCCTCCCTCACACCATCACCCCCCTCCTCATCGCCCCCTCCCTCACCCCAACACCCCCTCATCACAGTGTGCTCCCCCTCCTCTCACCTTCCCCTACCTCAGGCCATCCAACCCCCCCCTCTCACCATCACCCCCTCCCTGTCACCCTCACCCCTCACCCTCTCACCATCACCCCCTCCCTCACACCATTATCCACTATACAAGCACACACCCTGCATCCACTACACAAACACACTGCATTCACTATACAAACACACACTGCAGTCACTATGCAAACACACTACATACACTATATAAACACACACAGACACACACTTATACATGTGTGTCTGTGTATCTGTATGTCTTTGTATCTGTATGTGTGTTGGTATATGTGTATCTGTATGTGTATCTGTTTGTGTGTCTGTGTTTGTATCAGTGTGTCTGTATGTATGTGTCTCCATCTGTATGTGTGTCTGTGCCTGTGTGTCTCTGTGTGTGTGTGTGTGTGTGTGTGTGTGTCTGTATGTGTGTGTGTCAGTGTTTGTCTGTATCTGTGTATGACTGTGTTTCTATGTAACTGCATGTGTGTAACTATGTGTCTGTGTATGTGCCAGTGTGTGTATATGTGAGTATATGTTTATATGTGCATACATCTCAGCATTTCACCTACACTACACACAAATACAACCCTGCATCCAAATGTCAACACTACATAAAAATACACCACCATATTCAAAAACCACACTACAGAAAAATGCACACCTGCATTCAAATGCCAATACGTGCAAACACACCCGTAGATTCACTCAAACATACTCCATACAAAAACATGCTTACATTCAAACACACATTCACTGCACGGTGCTAAATACATAAAAAAATACAAACACTGCTCGGTGCTAAATAT